AGAGAGAGAGAGAGAGAGAGAGAGAGAGAGAGAGAGAGAGAGAGAGAGAGAGAGAGAGAGAGAGTCTGCAACAGAGAGACTGGAAGGCAGGTAGATAGACAGACACACGGAAACCAGGATTTACAATGGTGGAGACCTGGTTAATTGAGTGGTTCTTGACATCTTGTCGCCTGGTTCAGTGGTTCCCATTCAAAACAGCATGTTGTTGATCTCTGACACTTCCCTACCTTCCACCTCCATTGTTAAAACTTAAAACCCTTAACGTGTCACTGAGAGCACTGTCGTAGAAAATGTTCACCGCAGATAAAACCTTGGGCATTCCACATTTGCACAATACGGGTTGCAGGATGCATCATTGTGGATGTCAACCACAGGCCCTGACACCGGTCACACCGCCCTGTCCATTGAGAATTTCCTGTCACGGTGTCACCCCTCAGATGAAAGGGGGAAGAATCAGAACTTCTCATGTATTTAAATCTCTGTGTAATGACCCGCCATAACACGGACTGAGATCACTGCTGATTTCTGAGATTCTGCCGATGGAAATTCATGGAATGAATTGCTGAGATTCCCGCATTCTGCTGCGTTTTCTAAGTCTGTGTTTGTGCGTGCCTGATGACCTGCATGCCTGTCTGAGTGTTTGTCGGCACGAGTGTGTGTGTGACCCGCAAGGGTACTTGCTTGTTTGGGAGGCCCGTAGGGCCGGTACTTACCTGTGGCCGTGACATTGAGGGTTGCAGCAGGGAAACACGCAAGTGGCGGAGTAAGGGACCCGTGGCACTTAGGGCATTTCACAACCCTCAAGTAGCAGGTAGGCTGGTACCGCACCCAGTACCCAGTAGAAGTAGATGTGTCGGGTACTCGAGGCCGAGCAGAAGAAGACAAAGTTGGCATTTTTAGAGGCCCAGTAGCGGTAGGCTAGGTCTAGGTGGGCACCAGTCCATCCAGTCTGAGTCTAGGGCCTGTACGGGCAATATCAGAGTCTGCAATGATGTTTCCCTCCTAAAAGGGAGGAGGTACCGGACCACCGGTTGCTTGGGAGGCCGAGCGGCCTGGAAGTCACCGCCCAGGAGGCAAGTAGGCCGCTATATCTTGGGGCTGAGTGAAGAGCCCAGCCTCTCATTCTTCGGTGTGCAAGTTTGGCGACACACTGCTGGAGTTCTGGCTGGAAGAGCACTGGCCACTACAGCGCTGCTGGGAGGAAGAAGCCCGGGAGCTTCCACCTTGGCTATGGTGGAGCTCTAATGGTAGAAGGAGAGAGAAGAGGACTGAGGAGGAGAGTGGCGAGGTACCTACCTGACTATGGTGGACACTATCTTCATCAACTTGTTAGGCGCTGCATCTGGAATGCCCCAGTTGAGGTAGTGCCGCACCAAGGAAGCTCGGGGTAGAGTCAGGCATGACGGCTTAATGAGCAGCGGCATAGCTGCTTTGTGTTGTCCTTTGCACAGGCAGGCAGCGACATAGCTGCTTTGTGTTGTCCTTTGCACAGGAGGGTGAAGCCCTCAGTAGTCCGCCATAGCCTCGGTCTACATGAAGAGGAAAGAGAAGGGTGGCCATGGCTATGATGGACCTCATGTGGTGCCTGCAGTAGAAGAGGGATTCGGACATTGATTCTGGTTCAGCCATTCAACATTATTATTGTTATTTCTTGTTTGAATAAGAGGGGAGGAGATAAGGAGGAGGAGAGTGGTTGGCGAAGGAGAAGAGCATTGTCATTGTTCTATGCTAAAGTACATCATCTTCTTCTTCTTTCTTTCTTCTTCTTCTTCTTTTTTCCCTCTCTCTCCTCTCAAGTTCATTCATTTCTTTTTGCAATTGGATGGCATTGTACTTTCTGATGAATGTGTACTTCAAAATTGGCCAGGATCGTAACATACTTTTTGCGATTTGGGATGTGTCTGCGCCGACTCTGCGGGTCTAATATATGTTGTCCTCCTTCGCAGAGCAGTGCTGAGAGAGCTGTTCTTGGCCAGCTAGTAGCTACTATTCAAACGGTATTCGGACTCGAAGTGATTTCATAGCTTTGGCCTCAAATTTTGGATTCCTCCTTAAGTTTCCCCTTTCCAGGCCTTGTGTTGCCCTCTGTTCACTGGTACAGTCGTCCAAAGTGTCTGTTTGTCTTACAAGGCTAATGTCACCTCTCTATGTTCCTCAACTTTCCGCATGTGTCTGGACTACCACATAGACCAGACACATTCAAACAGATCAATCAATTTGAATGTGCTGGGACCATTATTAGCTCCAGATACATTTAGAATGCTGCACTTGCAGTGGACCGAGGCCCAATCAATCTTATGATTGTTGGCAACTGCTCCGCTGGCAGAAATCCGAGGGTCTTCACGTGCAGCTCCGGTGGTAGCTGTGTTTCTCCATTCAACTTGAGCAACGAACATTCCGTCTTCCATCCCTATGCAAGAGGTGGGCATGTTGCCTGCAAACAATCCGAGGGTGAAATTCACTGCTCAGTGCTCGCTGTGTTGGTTTGCAACGGAACAGTGAACACTATACTACACAGTGAAAAAATTCAAAAGAACAACGAACCCCAACCCCGGGGCCGAATGGTATGAATGACACGCACGTGTAACGGTGAGTAAATAGATCATCCATTCCAATCTTTATGGAATCAGACAGGTCATGAGCTACCCAGTGATAAGCAAGTAGGTACAACCTACTGATTTCACCAGCACTGGAGTTCTCTATCATGCTCTGTCAGTCTGACTCCAACCCACCGATCCTACTCTTAAACCACCAGTACACGGCCTCAGCCTTGCAGCAAAATAACTTGTCGCCACAAGAAGCAAAAGGCTGGCTCGGGGCAGGGTCGGAGCGTCAGAAGGTTTTCAAAATTTTGGGCCCATGTCAAATCCGTACGTCCCAAAAAACAAGACAAGCTTTGGCCGTGATTGCAGGTGGATACACTTTTTGGAGTACTGCCCTCAGTGAGGGCACTTCGGCAGAACGAGGAACACAGGGAGCACGACTGTCAGAATCACAAAAAAAGAACAAAAAAAAAAGAGCCAACAAAGCTTTGGCTGTGAAAGTGGTTGATGCATTTCAAAGGCGCTAGTGTGAGTATGCCCTCAGCAAGGGCGTTTTGAGCAAGAGGAATATGCGCTGCCTTGCTGGTGGCAGGGAAAGGAAGAAAAAAACAAAAGGAGAAAAAAAGAAAAAACAGCAATGTTTTCCTCCCCCGTAAAATTGGTCAGATGCATTCTGGAAAGTGATCGTTTGA